TTAGGTGTAGTGTCCATGTTGAGAACTGTCTCATTTAGGTGTAGTGTCCGTGTTGAGAACTGTCTCGTTTAGGTGTAGTGTCCGTGTTGAGAACTGTCTCATTTAGGTGTAGCGTCCATGTTGAGAACTGTCTCATTTATGTGTAGTGTCCGTGTTGAGAACTGTCTTGTTTAGGTGTAGTGTCCGTGTTGAGAACTGTCTCATTTAGGTGTAGTGTCCATGTTGAGAACTGTCTCGTTTAGGTGTAGTGTCCATGTTGAGAACTGTCTCGTTTAGGTGTAGTGTCCATGTTGAGAACTGTCTCATTTAGGTGTAGTGTCCATGTTGAGAACTGTCTCATTTAGGTTTAGTGTCTCTGTTGAGAACTGTCTCATTTAGGTGTAGTGTCCGTGTTGAGAACTGTCTCATTAAGGTGTAGTGTCCGTGTTGAGAACTGTCTCATTTAGATGTAGTGTCCGTGTTGAGAACTGTCTCATTTAGGTTTAGTGTCCATGTTGAGAACTGTCTTGTTTAGGTTTAGTGTCCGTGTTGAGAACGGTCTCATTTAGGTTTAGTGTCCATGTTGAGAACTGTCTTGTTTAGGTTTGTGTCCATGTTGAGACCTGTCTCGTTTAGGTTTAGTGTCCATGTTGAGAACTGTCTCGTTTAGGTTTAGTGTCCGTGTTGAGAACTGTCTCATTTAGGTTTAGTGTCCATGTTGAGAACTGTCTCATTTAGGTTTAGTGTCCGTGTTGAGAACTGTCTTGTTTAGGTTTAGTGTCCGTGTTGAGAACTGTCTCATTTAGGTGTAGTGTCCGTGTTGAGAACTGTCTCATTTAGGTGTAGTGTCCGTGTTGAGAACTGTCTCATTTAGGTGTAGTGTCTGTGTTGAGAACTGTCTCGTTTAGGTGTAGTGTCCGTGTTGAGAACTGTCTCGTTTAGGTGTAGTGTCCGTGTTGAGAACTGTCTCATTTAGGTGTAGTGTCCGTGTTGAGAACTGTCTTGTTTAGGTGTAGTGTCCGTGTTGAGAACTGTCTCGTTTAGGTGTAGTGTCCGTGTTGAGAACTGTCTCGTTTAGGTGTAGTGTCCGTGTTGAGAACTGTCTCATTTAGGTGTAGTGTCCGTGTTGAGAACTGTCTCGTTTAGGTGTAGTGTCCATGTTGAGAACTGTCTCGTTTAGGTGTAGTGTCCATGTTGAGAACTGTCTCGTTTAGGTGTAGTGTCCATGTTGAGAACTGTCTCATTTAGGTGTAGTGTCTCTGTTGAGAACTGTCTCATTTAGGTGTAGTGTCCGTGTTGAGAACTGTCTCGTTTAGGTGTAGTGTCCGTGTTGAGAACTGTCTCATTTAGGTGTAGCGTCCATGTTGAGAACTGTCTCATTTAGGTGTAGTGTCTGTGTTGAGAACTGTCTTGTTTAGGTGTAGTGTCCGTGTTGAGAACTGTCTCATTTAGGTGTAGTGTCTGTGTTGAGAACTGTCTCATTTAGGTGTAGTGTCCGTGTTGAGAACTGTCTCATTTAGGTGTAGTGTCCGTGTTGAGAACTGTCTCATTTAGGTGTAGTGTCCGTGTTGAGAACTGTCTTGTTTAGGTGTAGTGTCCGTGTTGAGAACTGTCTCATTTAGGTGTAGTGTCCGTGTTGAGAACTGTCTTGTTTAGGTGTAGTGTCCGTGTTGAGAACTGTCTCATTTTAGGTGTAGTGTCCGTGTTGAGAACTGTCTCATTTAGGTGTAGTGTCCGTGTTGAGAACTGTCTCATTTAGGTGTAGTGTCCGTGTTGAGAACTGTCTCATTTAGGTGTAGTGTCCATGTTGAGAACTGTCTCGTTTAGGTGTAGTGTCCGTGTTGAGAACTGTCTCATTTAGGTGTAGTGTCCATGTTGAGAACTGTCTCGTTTAGGTGTAGTGTCCATGTTGAGAACTGTCTCGTTTAGGTGTAGTGTCCATGTTGAGAACTGTCTCGTTTAGGTGTAGTGTCCGTGTTGAGAACTGTCTCGTTTAGGTGTAGTGTCCATGTTGAGAACTGTCTCATTTAGGTGTAGTGTCCGTGTTGAGAACTGTCTCGTTTAGGTGTAGTGTCCGTGTTGAGAACTGTCTCATTTAGGTGTAGTGTCCATGTTGAGAACTGTCTCGTTTAGGTGTAGTGTCCGTGTTGAGAACTGTCTCATTTAGGTGTAGTGTCCATGTTGAGAACTGTCTCATTTAGGTGTAGTGTCCATGTTGAGAACTGTCTCGTTTAGGTGTAGTGTCCATGTTGAGAACTGTCTCATTTAGGTGTAGTGTCCGTGTTGAGAACTGTCTCATTTAGGTGTAGTGTCCGTGTTGAGAACTGTCTTGTTTAGGTGTAGTGTCCGTGTTGAGAACTGTCTCATTTAGGTGTAGTGTCCATGTTGAGAACTGTCTCATTTAGGTGTAGTGTCCGTGTTGAGAACTGTCTTGTTTAGGTATAGTGTCTATGTTGAGAACTGTCTCGTTTAGGTGTAGTGTCCATGTTGAGAACTGTCTTGTTTAGGTGTAGTGTCCATGTTGAGAACTGTCTCATTTAGGTGTAGTGTCCATGTTGAGAACTGTCTCATTTAGGTGTAGTGTCCGTGTTGAGAACTGTCTCATTTAGGTGTAGTGTCCATGTTGAGAACTGTCTCATTTAGGTGTAGAGAAACTGTCTTGTTTAGGTGTAGTGTCCATGTTGAGAACTGTCTCATTTAGGTGTAGTGTCCATGTTGAGAACTGTCTCATTTAGGTGTAGTGTCCGTGTTGAGAACTGTCTTGTTTAGGTGTAGTGTCCATGTTGAGAACTGTCTCATTTAGGTGTAGTGTCCATGTTGAGAACTGTCTTGTTTAGGTGTAGTGTCCGTGTTGAGAACTGTCTCGTTTAGGTGTAGTGTCCATGTTGAGAACTGTCTCATTTAGGTGTAGTGTCCATGTTGAGAACTGTCTCATTTAGGTGTAGTGTCCATGTTGAGAACTGTCTCATTTAGGTGTAGTGTCCATGTTGAGAACTGTCTCATTTAGGTGTAGTGTCCGTGTTGAGAACTGTCTTGTTTAGGTGTAGTGTCCGTGTTGAGAACTGTCTCATTTAGGTGTAGTCCGTGTTGAGTGTCTCATTTAGTGTGAGAAGAACTGTCTTGTTTAGGTGTAGTGTCCGTGTTGAGAACTGTCTTTTAGGTGTAGTGTCTGTGTAGTGTCTGTCTGTTTTAGGTGAACTGTCCGTGTCGTTTAGGTGTAGTGTAGTGTCTGTGTTGAGAACTGTCTCATTTAGGTGTAGTGTCCGTGTTGAGAACTGTCTTGTGTTTAGGTGTAGTGTCCGTGTTGAGAACTGTCTCATTTAGGTGTAGTGTCCGTGTTGAGAACTGTCTCATTTAGGTGTAGTGTCCGTGTTGAGAACTGTCTCAGGTTTAGGTGTAGTGTCTCGTGTGTAGAGAACTGTCTCATTTAGGTTAGTGTCCGTGTTGAGGTGTAGTGTCCATGTTGAGAACTGTCTCATTTAGGTGTAGTGTCCATGAACTGTCTCATTTAGGTGTAGTGTCCATGTTGAGAACTGTCTCATTTAGGTGTAGTGTCCATGTTGAGAACTGTCTAGTTTAGGTGTAGTGTCCGTGTTGAGAACTGTCTTGTTTAGGTGTAGTGTCCGTGTTGAGAACTGTCTTGTTTAGGTGTAGTGTCCGTGTTGAGAACTGTCTCATTTAGGTGTAGTGTCCGTGTTGAGAACTGTCTCATTTAGGTATAGTGTCCGTGTTGAGAACTGTCTCGTTTAGGTATAGTGTCCATGTTGAAAACTGTCTCATTTAGGTGTAGTGTCCATGTTGAGAACTGTCTTGTTTAGGTGTAGTGTCCATGTTGAGAACTGTCTCATTTAGGTGTCGTGTCCGTGTTGAGAACTGTCTCGTTTAGGTGTAGTGTCCATGTTGAGAACTGTCTCATTAAGGTGTAGTGTCTGTGTTGAGAACTGTCTTGTTTAGGTGTAGTGTCCGTGTTGAGAACTGTCTCATTTAGGTGTCGCGTCCGTGTTGAGAACTGTCTCGTTTAGGTGTAGTGTCCATGTTGAGAACTGTCTCATTTAGGTGTCGTGTCCGTGTTGAGAACTGTCTCGTTTAGGTGTTGTGTCCATGTTGAGAGCTGTCTTGTTTAGGTGTAGTGTCCATGTTGAGAACTGTCTCATTTATGTGTAGTGTCCGTGTTGAGAACTGTCTCGTTTAGGTGTTGTGTCCATGTTGAGAACTGTCTCATTTAGGTGTAGTGTCCATGTTGAGAACTGTCTCATTTAGGTGTAGTGTCCGTGTTGAGAACTGTCTTGTTTAGGTGTAGTGTCCGTGTTGAGAACTGTCTCATTTAGGTGTAGCGTCCATGTTGAGAACTGTCTCATTTATGTGTAGTGTCCGTGTTGAGAACTGTCTTGTTTAGGTGTAGTGTCCATGTTGGGAACTGTCTCATTTATGTGTAGTGTCCGTGTTGAGAACTGTCTCATTTAGGTGTCGTGTCTGTGTTGAGAACTGTCATAACTACATTCAGTTGAGATGGTGGTACAATTTGAAGAGAAAAAAAAGTTTAGTTGCATATCTTTTCAAGGATGTCTGCACCCCAACCCGGCACAGGTTGTTCATGGTTTTACTCTGCGATTTGTTTCCACTGCTATCTGAACAGCCAAAGCGTCAAATCACCGTCAAAATGAAAGCAAAGGGTCTGCTGCTTAACCGCCTTCAGCTTAAACAAACTCGTTATTTCAGAGTTATGACTCACATTCGTAACCCCAAGCCATAGAAGCCAAATATAAAAAAAAAAGGCCAGTAAAAGGTAGTTGCAACTGTTTTGTTTTAAAATATGTTTTATAAAGAGTTAAAGTCTGACAGCATGCAGAAGTGCTTTACCTAAAACACAGTAAAAAAAACAAAAACAATCGTTCAATAACTCTCAACCCTTGGTCTGAAGAAGAAAGTTAATAAAGTGAACAGTGCAAAATAATAACAAAACAAAACAAAATTCCTATACAAATTAGAGCCAACAAATATTACAACTTGGAAATGTTCCTCTACTGCAGACGCTTAGTCACCCAATCAACAATTTCTTGCAGAGACTCAGAAATGACAGGTTCAATATCAAAATGAGGTTGGTGGTAACAACCTGGGTAAATCTGAAATTGCAATTAAATCTGAATGATCAATTTATTATTACATAAACTGAAACAAACAAAAAAACTTTTTTGCACAAATGCACATAAAAAAAAAAAAAAAAGACACACAAATACATGTCATGATCATCCAGCATTTCAGCTTGAGCACTTCATAAGACTGTTCAGGAGCATGTGATGGATTTTCTACCCAGGATATTCAGGTGTCAGGGCCATGAGAAGGCTGACAGACTGGCTGCTGTTCGGCGAGCTAAGATAGACATGATGAAGACTCACCGGGATCAAGCGAACAGAACAACACAACAAACGCAGAATCTGCACCTGGAGAGATAGATAAAGTCAGCAGATGGTCTGGACGATGTTCAGCACACAGGGGTAAAGACAGGTGTACTTCAATCAGGTTGCAACTGGCATCATCACTATGAGAACTCTTCACTGGGGAGTAATGAAGGGGATAGAGTATGTACGAGAATGTCCTGTGTGCAGTAATGTCAACCCTTCAAACATATGTTCAGCCTTGCGGATGTTTGCAAAGTTTTCTGATCAATAAATTCTGAAGCTGCCTGTCTTATAAAGCTCTCTCTAATTTCATGTCATCTGCACTGACTGGTCTGCACTCCATCTTTTTCTTATGGTCTGTGTCCTTTGGTTTTTGAGTTAGGGTATTCTAAAGATCCAAGGTGGTCATCACTGGAGGGACTGATATTGGTGCTTTGTACAATGCATTCGCTGGGCGGGCAGCCACTTTGCTGAGGGAGACTGAGGCATATGAGATTATACCTGGTGCACCCAGGTTTTCTCATTTTTTAAAGGGCTGGAATTTTTTCTAAAAATTCCGAATGGTCTCTGGGTAGTGAGATCGGACGCCCGTCTGCATTGTTGCGCACATAAAAAAATCCCTTGGCAGTTGGAAATCAAAAAGAGTATAATATGAAATTGGAAACATCAGGAGGCAGAGGGAGACCAAGAAGAATATAGAACTGAAGAAGTTATTGACAGCCTCGAGACTTCACAACATCATAGCATACCAAGTAAATGAGCTCACCGCAGATCATCAACTAAACTACCACACCTAATGTCACAAAGTAGGTACTGACAAAAGAAAAAGAAAAGAAATACACAGATGACTTTCCCCCAGAGCTCACCTTGATTGTTTTATCCACACTGGCAGCTTCCCTGTACAGAGCTTCCGATCCCTTGGAGTTTACAATCTTATCAGAGTCCCCATGCATGACCAAGAAGGGCCACTTGATTGTGCTCAGCTTTTGCTCAATTTCTTGTAGAGCAAACAAAATACTTAGAGCCCATCTGCAGAATCATATTGCAGAATGTTAAACTCAAACAGTTTAATTCTATATATCTTCATGAGCATAAGTTAGTTAGTTGTATATCCTTTACAGGACGCTGCAGAACCAACCCAGTATTTTCTGGCTGTTGTGGTTTTTCTAGACAAATTTTATATTCAGTAGTTTGCCACTGCTCTTGGTACCAGTGTCGAAACCATCACAAGACAAACCATCCGCAGCTGTGATCAAACCTGGCACCCTGGCATTATGAAGCTCGTTTGAAACACCTAAGCCACAGACACTAATGGACCTTTAAGTATGTTAATAAGAGAAGATAGAGGTGCCAGATTGGATTCCATACACGATACTGAAAAGACTGCACAAGACAAAACAGAATGGAGGAATTGATATTGAGGCCTATGAAAGATATTTTCATTTTCTTCTTTTGTCATCTCACTGACGCCAGCATGTAGCCCAGTGTCCTAGTTTTTTGTATTTGTTTTGCACTTCTCTGGTGGCTTGGGTGATGGATTTGTTTATCTTTTTGCAGGTTTCAGCTACGAAGTTTATCCATCTCTTTCTTGGTCTTCCCTTTACTATCCTTCCAGATGTAAAAGATCTCATATGCAGTTTGGTCTGGCCGCATCTCTCACTAGATGGCAGAACCATTTCATTCTTTGTCTGCCAACATAATTAAGACACAGTCATATCCCTTCCTCTCTAATGCTGGTATTTACAACCCTGTCTCTTCTTGTGCTGTTAGTGACCTTACAGAAACAGCGCATTACACAGGAAGTTATATTCTGTTCTAGTGCCCTATACATTGTCCACGTTTGGCATTAGCATAAGGAAGGAATGAGGACGCTATTGATCATTTTCTCTTATGCAGGAAGGGAGAATGTAACACACAACCTGCACTAAAGAATGATGATAGTGATGGAAATAAGCAGGCTAACAACCAGCACAAGGAGGCTATCTTGACTCAGCATAATACAATTGGTAACATTTGTATTTTCAGGCAACTATCTGAGAATGCAAAAGGCAAAGTCGCATGGAAAAGAACTGGTCCCTTAACCTTATTATGCACCGGCTAAAACTATGTATAGACCCAACATTTCACTCCCTAAAGAGAGAATATGTGAAACTTACCGTGCTTTCAACCCTCCATGATAATTCAATGGATCATCCTTGTACTTTTGACACTGACAAGATAAATAGAAACATAAATATATAAAAACCAAATAAGCAGAAAACACATGAACAACGAAAAGTTTACCCAAAAAAAAAAACACACACAAAATTACTACATGTGAGGGTCAGTCAGTCAGTAGCATGTCCTTTGCAGAACTTTGCTCCAAAAATGGGAAAACATCTCAATCACCAGCAAGATGTCCCACATCCGATACACCCATCTGGAGATCATCTGCCACATCCTGCACCCATCTTCTCTTTGGCCTTCCTCTTCCTTTCTTCCCAGGCTATACCCCTCCATTATTGTGCTCTCTAAACTTTTGTGATGTTTCAAGTGACCAAAATATTTCTTCTGTGTTTTATCATCTTTAATAGCCAACCTTCTTCAATATTCAGTTTCTGAAGTATGTTGGATGCATTTGTTCTTTTCTATACCCCTGATAGTCTCAGAACCTGTTGATAACATTTGTATTCAAAGGCATTTATGCGCTGTTCAGCTTGTTAAGTAATTGTGCAGGTCTCACAGGCGTATGTTGCAATGGGAAAGATGCATGCTCTTAGAAATCTAATTTCTGTAGTTCTGCCTGTCCCACTCCATAATTTATTCAGTTGTATTAGTCTCTGAAGAGCAACTGATAGTCGTCGTTAAATTTTTTTCATTGTGTCACCATTGTTGATAATCAATGACCCAAGATATTCAGAATTTTCCACAACCTCCAATGTTTCCTCAATACCACATATGTCTTTCTCCATGGTAGTTTTATCCCTATGCATTATCTATTTTTTGCTATGTTAAGATATAAGCTGTGATTTTCATCATTTCTTTGGGTTGAGGTTATTAAGTTTTCTATACCAGTCTGTGATGTGGATAGCAATACTGTATCATCGGCATATTAGATCTCTGGTATTTCATGACCACCGAGATTTAGAGCATCAAACTGCTCTCTGGTTATATCATCAATGGCATCCCTCAGTCCTGGGGGACTATGGAGATGTGCCGCTGGCTTTGGGAACAGCATCTGCTGTGACTGTAAAGTCCGATGCGGGAATGGCAGTCTTTGCCACACAGGATACACACAAAAGCAGATACTCCCTCGTTGTGAGGCAGTTTTACTCTCCGGTGTCTCCTCTCCACAGCTCGTTGTGTTCGGTTTCTTTCAAAATGTGACAGTCCGTCTTTCACTTTCTGTCTCTGGTTATATCATCACTGACATTTCTCATTCTACGTGAGCGTGCAATCTTTCAATCATGAATAGTTTTCTAGAAAACAGAGAAGTGGTCTCTAAAACAAGAATATTTTCTCTGGAATGTGAAAGTGTATTCTTTAAAACAATATCTTATGCAGAATGTATGAGTGTAGTCTTTAAAGGAATATTTTCTCTAGAATGTAACAGTATTATTGCCTTTAAAACAATTTTTCTCTAGAATGTGAGAGTATGGCCTTTAACCCAACCAGACCGCTGGCCCGATTTTTCCGGGAATTTCTTAACCTGACGCTATACCGCTGTCCCTTATTTTAGGCTATTTGCGTAGTATGGGAAAAAGATGCATCACAGACTAAAAATAACTAGCCAGTCGTAATTAGATCTTGTTGATAGTCTTCCTAGATGTCAGCCCATGTTGTTTTACCTGAAAAAAAAAAGTCTGAAAATTCACAATAAAACGAGCGGCTGATGAACCAAGCACTTTGACAGGAAAGTAAAGTCCAACAGGTGATCGATACTTTGGTTTATTCAGACTCTGCGGAGTCATTATTTCATGAAGAATACATTTACAGCTGAAGTGACCCATTCAGCTCCAATAGTGAGGAGAATCTTGAAAAATTATAAGTCTAGAAATAGATCGATAGTAAGAGAAAGGGCGGGGGGGGGGGGGGGGGTGTCCCTCAAACAGCAACATCTGGTGAACTGGTGAAACAATACTAATCCTCCTCAGTGGATTAGCACACAAAGGTGGAATATTGGCGCTAGATAAAAGATAAGCTCATTTTCAACAATGTCCTCAAGTTTCAACTTATTCTAGCCACTTGTTTGCATGTAACTAATATATTTGTAAATCATGTTGTACCTGCCCAGGAGCTCAGGTACAGGGGGCAGTTAGGTTCAGGGCCTCAGGTCTGGTAGGGTTAAAACATAATTTTCTCTAGAATGTAACAGTATTGCCTTTAAAACAATATTTTCTCTAGAATGTAACAGTATTGCCTTTAAAACAATATTTTCTCTAGAATGTAACAGTATTGCCTTTAAAACAATATTTTCTCTAGAATGTAACAGTACTGCCATTAAAACAATATTTTCTCTAGAATGTAACAGTATTGCCTTTAAAACAATATTTTCTCTAGAATGTAACAGTACTGCCTTTAAAACAATATTTTCTCTAGAATGTAACAGTATTACCTTTAAAACAATATTTTATTCAGAATGTGAGAGTATAGCCTTTAAAACTATATTTTCTCTAGAATGTGAGAGTATTGCCTTTAAAACATTACTTTCTATAGATTGTAACAGTATTGCCTTTAAAACAATATTTTCTCTAGAATGTAAGAGTATTGTCTTTAAAACTTTACTTTCTATTGATTGTAAGAGTATAACCTTTAAAACAATATTTTCTCAAGAATGTAACAGTATTGCCTTTAAAACAATATTTTCTCTAGAATGTAACAGTATTGCCTTTAAAACAATATTTTCTCTAGAATGTAACAGTACTGCCTTTAAAACAATATTTTCTCTAGAATGTAGCAGTACTGCCTTTGAAAAAATATTTTCTCTAGAATGTAACAGTATTGCCTTTAAAACAATATTTTTTTTATAGAATGTGAGAGTATAGCCTTTAAAACCTTATTTTCTATAGAATGTGAGAGTATAACCTTTAAAACATTATTTTCTATAGAATGTAACAGCATTGCCTTTAAAACAATATTTTCTCTAGATTGTAACAGCATTGCCTTTAAAACAATATTTTCTCTAGATTGTAACAGTATTGCCTTTAAAACAATATTTTCTCTAGATTGTAACAGTATTGCCTTTAAAACAATATTTTCTCTAGATTGTAACAGTATTGCCTTTAAAACAATATTTTCTCTAGATTGTAACAGTATTGCCTTTAAAACAATATTTTCTCTAGATTGTAACAGTATTGCCTTTAAAACAATATTTTCTCTAGATTGTAACAGCATTGCCTTTAAAACAATATTTTCTCTAGACTGTAACAGTATTGCCTTTAAAACAATATTCTCTGGAGTATGTAATTGTAAAACCTTTAAAACAATATTTTCTCTAGATTGTAACAGTATTGCCTTTAAAACAATATTCTCTGGAGTATGTAATTGTAAAACCTTTAAAACAATATTTTCTCTAGATTGTAACAGTATTGCCTTTAAAACAATATTCTCTGGAGTATGTAATTGTAAAACCTTTAAAACAATATTTTCTCTAGAATGTAAGAGAAGCCTTTAAAACAATATTTTCTATAGAATGTGAGAGTAGTCTACAAAATAAGACAATTATATCTAGATGTGTGAGTGGAGTAACACTGGCCAGCTGTATTTCCCAGAACTTTCTCTTGTTTCTATTTCAACATTATGCTGGCCACTACGTAACACACAACAAAACACACATGCAGTAATACACAAAGAGAGAGAGACACACACACACTCTCTCTCGTACAGATACGCTCCTCACAAACAGTTAAGCAACAAATCTTTGAAGCTGTTTAAAATGTAATGCATAAATCTCACAAAATCAAATTTTCAACAATAATTATGCCATATTCATTGTACCTGCAATTAGTTAATTAAACACAGAAATCAGAACTTTTTTTTTTTTTTTGCACACTTGAGAAGCCAGATTTCAAAAGCATATGTGAAAAAAAAACACACACACACACAATGTGCTTGCAAGGATTCAATGAAAAGAGGCAAACATCATGCCTGCTTCAGACTCAAAAGAGTTACACAAACTGTTTTGGCCTGCTTCGGACACTAGAGAGTTACACAAACTGTTTTGGCCTGCTTAAGACTCAAGAGAGTTACATAAACTGTTTTGGGCCTGCTTCAGACACAAGAGAGTTACACAAACTGTTTTGGCCTGCTTCAGACACAAGAGAGTTACACAAACTGTTTTGGCCTGCTTCGGACACAAGAGAGTTACACAAACTGTTTTGGCCTGCTTCAGACACAAGAGAGTTACACAAACTGTTTTGGCCTGCTTTGGACACAAGAGAGTTACACAAACTGTTTTGGCCTGCTTCAGACACAAGAGAGTTACACAAACTGTTTTGGCCTGCTTCGGACACAAGAGAGTTACACAAACTGTTTTGGCCTGCTTCAGACACAAGAGAGTTACACAAACTGTTTTGGCCTGCTTCAGACACAAGAGAGTTACACAAACTGTTTTGGCCTGCTTCGGACACAAGAGAGTTACACAAACTGTTTTGGCCTGCTTCAGACACAAGAGAGTTACACAAACTGTTTTGGCCTGCTTCAGACACAAGAGAGTTACACAAACTGTTTTGGCCTGCTTGGGACACAAGAGAGTTACACAAACTGTTTTGGCCTGCTTCAGACTCAAGAGAGTTACACAAACTGTTTTGGCCTGTTTCAGACACAAGAGAGTTACACAAACTGTTTTGGCCTGCTTCAGACACAAGAGAGTTACACAAACTGTTTTGGGCCTGCTTCAGACACAAGAGAGTTACACAAACTGTTTTGGCCTGCTTCAGACACAAGAGAGTTACACAAACTGTTTTGGCCTGCTTCGGACACAAGAGAGTTACACAAACTGTTTTGGCCTGCTTCAGACACAAGAGAGTTACACAAACTGTTTTGGCCTGCTTCAGACACAAGAGAGTTACACAAACTGTTTTGGCCTGCTTGGGACACAAGAGAGTTACACAAACTGTTTTGGCCTGCTTCAGACTCAAGAGAGTTACACAAACTGTTTTGGCCTGCTTCAGACACAAGAGAGTTACACAAACTGTTTTGGCCTGCTTCAGACACAAGAGAGTTACACAAACTGTTTTGGCCTGCTTCGGACACAAGAGAGTTACACAAACTGTTTTGGCCTGCTTCGGACACAAGAGAGTTACACAAACTGTTTTGGCCTGCTTTAGACACAAGAGAGTTACACAAACTGTTTTGGCCTGCTTCAGACACAAGAGAGTTACACAAACTGTTTTGGCCTGCTTCAGACACAAGAGAGTTACACAAACTGTTTTGGCCTGCTTCGGACACAAGAGAGTTACACAAACTGTTTTGGCCTGCTTCAGACACAAGAGAGTTACACAAACTGTTTTGGCCTGCTTCAGACACAAGAGAGTTACACAAACTGTTTTGGCCTGCTTCGGACACAAGAGAGTTACACAAACTGTTTTGGCCTGCTTCGGACACAAGAGAGTTACACAAACTGTTTTGGCCTGCTTTAGACACAAGAGAGTTACACAAACTGTTTTGGCCTGCTTCAGACACAAGAGAGTTACACAAACTGTTTTGGCCTGCTTCGGACACAAGAGAGTTACACAAACTGTTTTAGAAAATAATAAACTTGAAAGATTTGTTGCTAAACTTTTTGTGAGGAGTTTACAGAATAATATGGAATGCAGGAATAGACTGCAAACCCTATGTGGCATAAAACAGCACAACAGGATAAGGATGATGATGATAATACAGTCAGATTAGCATAGGTTTCAGTGTACTAGATGTAATAGTGTAAAGCAAACCTGAGCCCAAATTTTCAGTGGTGGCAGGATAGACAAGTATAATCAACTCAGCCTTGTAAAAGGATACTATAGCAATTTCAGTCAAGAATTAATTCAGGGGTTTCCAACTTATGGGTCACAACCCCAAATGGGGGTCGCAAGGGGTTTTCTGTAGGGATGCCGGACAGTGGTGGGCTATGAAATTTTAACTCTTTAGGTAATAATAAACGCACCATGCACGTTGAGAGCTTGAGGCTGTTTCTTGCGGGCAACAACTGCCCTTCGTTTCTACACATCTCTGTGACAGTGGATTTTAAACGCTTCATCAAGTTAAAATCAAAACAAGAAAACAGAATAAATGTTGAGAATGATATGGTTGGCATTAACAAAAAATCAGCCAGAAATTTGTAAGCTAGTTAAAGGGTTTTAATTTCAAATATCCACTTAAATATTTCATAAGTTATATTATTTTCAATTCTATTCTAATGAAAAAATTATTTTCATTGTGTTTTCATTCACTATATTAAAAAGAATATTTTGCACGTTGTCACTATAAAATGGGGTCATTATTTATAAAAGTTTGGGAACCACTGGACTAATGTTAAATAGCTAGTTACCCTACCCCATAATATAGTGGTAGAGTAAATATAAGTATCTAAATTCCTCTTTCTCATTCTTTAATCTTTCATGTGTGTGCAGACACAGAGAGAGAGAGAGAGAGAGAGAGAGAGAGAGAGAGAGAGAGAGAGAGAGAGAGATAAACGGGGAGAGAGAGAGAGAGAGAGAGAGACAGAGAAAGAGAGAGACAGATAGAGAGAGAGAGAGAGACAGATAGAGAGAGAGAGGTAGAGAGAGAGAAAGAGAGAGAGAGAAAGAGAGAGAGAAAGAGAGAGAGAACAAGATATGGTTTGGCTGGACTTGCCCCATTTCAGAATGTACTGTAAATGCACAAGGCAGAGACAAAGGAGATCTCTCACCTGTGGGATGAGGTCACAAGTAAAATAGAAAACAATGAAAACCTGTACATGGAGAAATTGATGCTGTAGGCTCTGGGTGTCACTTGAGATTCGGGTGAATCCAATGTATACACACACAAAACACAATCTCATCTAAAACAGACACACAACAGATATACAACCCCAAACTGACTTACGGTCAAAATGAACGCTAGGCAGGGGCACTGTTTGGAGCCGAGGCTAATTTTTTGCTTTTGCCAGACGGTGGCCGATGCCTATTTGCTCCATCTGTAGACTGGATAGTTTCCTCGCCCAGCTTCTGTTGACTGCATGGCGAGACACTGTGAGCTGCGGATTTCATTTGGAATGTTTTTTCGACTGTGAACAACGTGGTGGTGTGAATTTTAGATTCAGAAAATGCGCAATGCCTGTCGTCGCAATGTTGGTAGTGCCCATATGTGATAAAAATTGATCGCGTGGGCAACTGCTGATCTGTTGGTGACTTTTGCTACCATCAATGAGGAACTGCATTTCTAATGTTGGACTGTTTGTGTTAGCACTTTGGTGACTACCGTATGCTTTAATGCTAGTGTATGCTAGATATGCTGAGACAGCAGTCTGTCAATCTTTCCACAAGGGACTGTGATAAACATTCTGTGTGTTTTTCATTGGCACAGGAGCGGAGCAAAGATGGGGTGACTTGTTTGCTATGAAGCTGAAACTAAGACTACCAGACTACCAAACCAGACAACCCCAAATACTTACAACAGCTTTGTCTCTACTGATATCTTCATTACTTAGCCATAACACTGGACATTGTGGCAGAATTCTGGCCAGAATTTTTCCAAAGAAAATCTGTGGCAACAAAGTTGAATGAAACATCATAAAGTAATGCTGAAAACTTCAACAGTGATTGAATTTTTAAAAGATACACGTTACATAATATTTATTTTGTAAACATCACAAAAGTTTAGAAAGAAAACATTAATGTAAGTCAGTCAATCAAAAATGTTTTATGATAAATCAAAACAATAGCATTAATGATTTTCTTTACTGCAAGCAGTAACAATGAGTTATTATTAATGTCTTGCCAATAGGCATTCTACAAAATAATTGTAACCAACTAACATAAGTCATCATAATTTAAAACTATGTGCAAAACTACGCGCAAAACTACGTGCAAAACTATGGGCAAAACTGTGTGCAAAATTGCATACATATACAAATATTTTGCAATAAGCTGCAGCACTGAAGTGAAAATTGTCAATTACTTTTCAAAGCAGAAAAAAAATATCTTGAATAGTGCTGTTATCCATGAGTTACTGAGACTCAAGAAGAAAGGAAAGACTAGAAACACTCCGATCAACTATGAACAAGCAGAATTGTTTGGCTTTAAAAGTGATAGCTTCAGGAACATTTATACAGGATAAGGCAGACATTCTGAAGACTATGAATAAATGCTGGTGGAAGATATGTCATTAGATGAAATAACACATGCAAGGATGTGTGAACTGAGAATTAAGTGTGAATCTGACAAGAAAGGATTTACAAGAGGAGGGTACAACTTGTATACAACCAGTGTGCTACTGGGGCAGTTAGCATCTACATTTGTGTGTTGCAGGAGAATCTATGGGAATGTCATGCATGATAGGATATCAAATCTAAAATCAATTTTCAGTTTATCCTAAATCCTGATGTGCCTAAAGAATGTATAACTGTTTCTGATGCAGGTAATGAGTCCTCTGCATTTTTCTGTCCATTCATGGAGATACATAAACCATTTAATTCAATTCTACTTTATTTATTTCAGGTTGACTCACCCGGATCGAGCCAACAGTGTCTTGTTCAGGAGTCACTGCAGGTGAAATTAGAACAACACCCGTGAAGTAGTCGGGACGATCGAGGCCGGCCAGGATAGATATGGCACCACCCTAGCAGAAATGAAACAATCTTATCATTGTATTTGAGTCATATATGAGGTTAGACATGACAGATGCATCCTCGCAATCATTCTGTTATGCCATTATATGTCAAAATAGGTTTCCTTCATTCCATTCTATTCTGTGCACTTATTTGTATCATGGATGGAATTCAGTCCCTCCTGCATGGTTCGAGGGATTCAATTGGGGTTGGGGGGAGACCCCACCGATTGTTAATCTGCATATAATAAAAGGTGACTAGAAACAGGGATTTGAAATTGGATGTCAAACTGTCACTACTGTCTGTTTTACCAACTTTTTAAGGTGGTGTAGACAGGGGGTCACCAGCCTGAGAATTTAGGGTGCATAGCTAGTGCTGTTGCCACATAATGTGCAGGATAGGATGTGCAATTTTGCCCTCGACAGAAAACTCTGTCACCTTACCAGTGGGAGGTGTCAAACCTGGGTTTCCCCCATGACAGCCCAACTTTGTAACCACTTGGCCAGCCGCACCTCTTGTGATATCGGCCAAAAGGCACAGATTTTGCAGCCTAGCTGTAAACCACAAGAAAACGTGCTAACTGCCCTTTTAAGGATAAACGAAGAAGATGAATCCAGTCAAGTATCTTGGGTCTGTCTCATCAACATAGTAGTGTTTCTCCTGGGCGTCTGCATCTCCTCAAGTCATTTACTTCCCATTTCGAAGCTTCTGTGGTGATTCTCTACTCTCTGCTTCTCAGAAAGTGCTCAATATAGCGCCATTCTCTTTGTCTTATAGCTGTGATACCAGAGGTTGTCTAGCCATTTCTTATTTCTTGAATTCATCCCATTTAACTCTTTGAGTCCCAGGGGGTTTAGCATCAGAGGCCCAAGGGATGGTCAAAAGCGCATCATGCATTCAATGGGCTTCTAGGTAGGAACATATGAACGTATAGTGTGTTCCTTGGGACTGAAGGAGTTAATGTTCACCAGTTGTATTTGTTTTCTTATTCATTTACCTGTAGTTCCCCATTTACAGTGGTTCTAAAACTTTAACTGGCATATGCTGAAATGACATTAGAATATTAAAAAAAATTTAACATGGTTTTAAAACTATACAATTGAGAGTTCCATAATTTTTTCAAGCTTTCAAGTGCTGCTGATGCCCTGCCAGTGCGAGTCAACATTTCTTGTTCTGTTTTTCCTTAACTATGAAAATAAGGAAATTGTAATTGTTTTTGTCTTTAGTGTTAACCTGCTTGATCCGCTATTGATGTCCTCAATATACGAAGGTTATTCCAAAATCAACCGCTGATTGGCTAGTTCAAAAAATACTGTTTGTCATAATGACACCGTTCACTGCTTGCATCATTCAGTAGCCCTTCAGCTCACTACACACCAATCAACAGTCAAATTTGTTCAGTGGTTCACAAACCCTGAACGAATAAACACAATACTGTTATTACCTGTCTTGCTAGGTGTGAAATTCATAGTGTGATTTGTTTTCTTTAAGCTGAAGGTCAAAATGCCCAGCTTTGTTGTCCCTAAGTGTCTAAGTTTATGGATAAAAATGTGCAAAAACCACTTGATTATATTAATAGGGGATATTTTTCTTTCCATCTGTTAAGTTTTCTAGTCACAGTTTGTGTTTTGTTTAGCTATTTCTTGTTTTAGCTTAAACGCAGTCACCTCTATTGTTGACATTTTTTTTAAGGAAGTGTCTAGTTGTTCATTTGTCTGTGCATGATGACCAGAAACTGGTAAGCCAAGAAAATTGTCCTTGCTCTTGTCTGTCATTAAGTCGGTCATCAGATTTCTTTCTTTTTTCTAATTTTCTTTTATATGTGTCATTATGAACCCTTGCACAGGACAGGAAAGCATGGAAAGTCCTCTCTGAAGCCTCATGTGCCACTAAGCATAACGAGAACTGATGATGATGATTATGAACCCTGCATTAGATTCTGGCATTACAATAGTATGGCAATAGCAGGGCTGACGTTTAGCTGAGGGAAAGGGGGGGGGGGCGTTAAATAAATGACTGCACAAGGGCGTCATAATCCTAAATACAGCCCTGCTGCATTTTGGGGTCACTTCTTGTTCACTGTTTGTGTCCATAAAGACCAGTAACATACCTAACCTCAAGTCTATCACCTGATGTCCAACTCTTTCCAGTAATTTTCTCTGTGTATCAACCAAAACAGACACTACAACAATGAGGCAAACAAATTAAATATGCTACCACTGAGTGAGGAGCCACAGTGATGTAGCGGCTAGAGTCTCGCCTGAGACAGGGCTGTCTTTAGGCACAGGCTTACTGGGCACTTGCCCTCAAGGCCCCATGAGCATAGCGGCCCCTATGCTAATCTCTGTGTAAAGTGACTTGGCCATAAAAAAATATATATTTAATATTTAACTCTTTGAGTCCCAGTAGGTTTAGTATCACAGGCACAAGGTGTAGAAAAGAGAGGCATAAAATCGGGGCATCATCCGTTCATTGGGCTTCTAGATAGGAACCTATAAACATATGATACATTAATTGGGACTCAAAGAATTAAATGAATCCTATGTTGTATAAAACCCAAATTATATCCACCTAGCTACCCCCTCCCCCAAACCAGTTTTGTTTAAGTACCAGTAAAATACATATTTGTTTAATATTATCCACCATTTACATTTAATTCCTATGAGTGTTTGTCATAGAGGGCCCCAGCACACTTGTTTGCCCAGGGTCCATGATGCTGTTAAGACGGGCCTGGCCTGTGGATCCAAATGTCATGGGGTTCAAATCCAAACGGAGCTTTCTTCCTTTCAAAAATTGACTTTGGCTCCCAGGTCGACTGAGCCTTAAATGGCTACCAGGTAGACCGAGCCTTAAATGGCTACCAGGTAGACCGAGCCTTAAATGGCTACCAGGTAGACCAAGCCTTAAATGGCTACCTGGTAGAACAAGCCTTAAATGGCTACCAGGTAGACCGAGCCTTAAATGGCTACCAGGTCGACCGAGCCTTAAATGGGTACCAGGTCGACTGAGCCTTAAATGAGTGCCAGGTAAAGTCCTGGGATGGTAAGTAAAAGTAGCTGGTGTGATACTGACCACATCCCCCACAGAGTCCCAGTTGGTTCTATACCATACAGGTCTAGTACTATATGCTCAATACACTGAAGGCGTAGAAAAGGGCCATTTCCTTTTTAGGAAGCTTTTTTTTTCTTTTTCTTTTTTAATACTTTACCATTGAATGACCAGTGATGAAAACTTTTTAAATACTTTACCATTGAATGACCAATGATGAAAACGGGTAAGCCAGGAAACCTTTCCTTGATCTTGTCTACGTGCTGAAAGACGTCCCTGGTGTAATGCCTAAAGTCACTGATGTGCATACGGGGTCCTCCGCTTTGACCATTTCCCTCTAGGAAATTTAACATTGATATACAAATCTCACCAGACATTTAAATGGAAATAAAATAGCAACATATTCCTACAGGAAGATTATATATGAAAGAAGGCTGCTTCTGCCTCTTCTTTTCATACCCTAATTCCCCAATAGAGAATAGGCTCTCAATCAATTCATGCTCAGTTGTACAATCCTTTGCTATCGCACACAGCTTTCCCCATTTCCTCCCCATCTTTTTAACCTCTCTCTCTGGCTCCCTTCTCCATGTGTTTTTTGGTCTTTCTTCATTTCTATGCCCCTGTTGGTTTCATTGCAAAGTTTTACTGTTTTCAGGTTTTCTCAACGTGTACCCTATCCAGCCCAGCGTCTTTTCTTCACCTCGTGGTCCACTGGAGCTTGCTTAGTTCTCTCCCAAAGCTCTACATTAGTGATTCTATCATATCATTTAATTTCCTTTTTTCTTCGCAGGCACCAGTTAATGAATGTTTGTAGTTTATTATTAATTGACTTAGTTGCTCTCCATGTTTCCGCTCCATACAACAGTACTGATTTGACATCAGAATCAATTCAAACTATTTGTAGTTTAATAAATCAGTATATTAAGTTTTTAAATTAGATCACTTGTTAAATTCCAAATGTTTTTGTTCGTACATATTTTACTAAACTTTTTTATCATTCTTTACCTGGAAGAGGGTGTCAGAAGGGGTTATCTGCCCACCTATCAATTCACCAATTACAGAAATCTAGATATCTAAAACCCCTTTCCTTCTTTTGTGGGTAATATGTGTGGCTAGTATCAAGAGCCTTTGATGAGCTGGAGTTTTTATATACCCAAGACTAGTCCAGTTTCTCATGTGGATATGGAGTGTTGGGATACGAACCCACCCTCCTTACACAAGGATATATCCATAAGGAACAAACAACAATGTGTGACCTGACTAATAAATTTCTCGGCCAAAGAAGATAATTTTTCACTGTTTTTTAAACTTTGCTAATGAACAGGGATTCAGCTAATGAATGTTTCAGTTGATGTGCATTAACACATCATGGCTGTGTTGTGAGCTGAAATTTCACACTATCCACGGAAAATCATGTTTTGGCTAATGTAGATTTTGACTAACAAATGTGATTTTTCAATAAATTATCTTCATTAGCTGCTAGTGTGAAAGGCAATGAGAGAGCAGATACCTTGGCTGGAAGTGTGACTATCAGGAATAGGCTATCTATAGATAAAAGAGACATCATCAATGCCATAGAGAGACTTGTCACGTGCGGATGTGCACTAGAACGCACCGGTACTGAGTGAGCAAATAAGACGTCAAAACAATACGTAATATCATTATGGTATTGTTGTGAAAGGCATTCGATGTTTACAGTCTGAAGGGGACGGACGTGTGGATCCCTGAGGACGTTATACCCCGGGATGCCACTGAAAGCAGTCACTGTATGAAGTTGGGCCCTTGAGGACGCTCTACCCCAGGACTCCACTTTAAACCTAAGCAGAAAGCTGGTATAGTGCTTACTTCGTTCGGCAGTAAGCCGGTATACTTAACTTACCTTGTTCAAGCCGAGAGAGAGAGAAGATTGAGATGACTGTCGGAATCTCCAAGGTGAGACTGCGACACGTTGTGTGAATTTATCAGTCGATTGGTGTACGAGTCGGCAGTAAGCCGGTATACTTATACTACAGGACTGTCGGGATCTCCAAGGTCGGGCTGTGACACGTCGTTGGTAATATGTCAGCTGACGTCGTGCGGTTTCTTGTGCTGGTGTGTTTGGATTATTAATTGCACATTTTCTCCTGTTGTTGATCTTCATTATTGTCAATACAACAATTGAACCTTTTAAGAGAATTATTGTTCAGCTACGTTTGGAAGTCAGTTAACATTCATCACGTTCTGTTACACTTGGCTTATTTCATCCTTTGCTACGACACGCATCAGCTTGAAGCCGCCACACGTCACAAGACTAAACGCTATGAGGCTTTCAGTTTCATGGAAAATGATTTTTTACTGTATAGACTGCATTCGCTGGGTGTCCCAATTGCAGCAGCGAGACTGGAAAACCACACAGGAGCCACCCATCATTACATCAGCAAGCACAGAATGGGAGTTGTTAGCCTAAAACCACCTTTTCCACACCTTTAGGCACATACTGTTGAACCTATATTTTTAGACTAATTGGTGCTTGGTGAATGACGGGTCAACATCTTGCCAGCCACCTTTACTTCTCAGGACTTCACCTGGTTCCCATATAAGGCTGTGTCAACCTGGATGCTAAGGTCATTTGCTGCTTCGACCTGGGAGCTACGGTCATTTGCTGTGTCGACCTGGGAGCTACGGTCATTTGCTGTGTCAACCTGGGAGCTAAGGTCATTTGCTGTGTCAACCTGGGAGCTAAGGTTATTTGCTGTGTTGACCTGGGAGCTACGGTCATTTGCTGTGTCAAACTGGGAGCTAAGGTCATTTAAAAAAAATATATTTAGTCCTAATAAAATAAGCTGGGGTTCTGCAGCACTCACGGTGATCATGAGAAAAAACAAACAATTCCTTGGCTCTGAGAAGTTCGGCTAATTCTGTGTAGTACAAGCAATGTTCTCCTGCACCATGACACATGAAGACCAGACCTCTAGTGGAAGATACAAACATGATCAACTTAGTTATTTAGTCACAGCTCCAACCTCAGGGCAAACAGGACACCTCCTCATTGCTCCGTCCCTGTGCCAATCTTAAGAGACTGGAATCCTGGTTAAGCCAATAGCATGCATAAGCATTAAAATAAATGGATAAAGCAGTCACCATAAATGCCAACACAAACAGCCTGCAACTAGGATTGCTGTTTATGCCTGATGGAAGCAGCAGCTACAACAAATCAACACCACCAGTTCCATAATAGCAGGCTATTTTCTGAATCTGCAGTTCACAAAACAAACCACCACGGGCAGAGTTGAAGAGACATCCACAACTGAGTGTCGCACTATGCACTCAACTCAGTAGCAGGACAACGGAACTTTATGTTTTCAGTCCACATATGGGGGGGGGGGGGGATGTAACAGCAAATCAGGTCGAGAAGCAATAACTTTGTTGTGTGCTAAACTCACACTGCTGTTCAACTGTACTAGGCCTCAGAGGCATGATCGCCTACGCCGGTCGTGGAGGCGCTAGATGATGATGATGTTGGTAGAGGTGAGTGCAGAAGGTCACACGGGTAAACTGTGAGACAGATATCTGTGTTTGAGAATCTCTACTGACAGTAGAACAGGGAAAGAGGCAGATCAAGAAAGACCTGGGAACAGGGAAAGAGACAGACCAAGAAAGACCTGGGAACAGGGAAAGAGGCAAATCAAGACAGACCTGGGAACAGGGAAAGAGACAGACCAAGAAAGACCTGGGAACAGGGAAAGAGACAGACCAAGAAAGACCTGGGAACAGGGAAAGAGACAGATCAAGAAAGACCTAGGAACAGGGAAAGAGGCAGATCAAGAAAGACCTGGGAACAGGGTAAGAGACAGACCAAGAAAGACCTGGGAACAGGAAAAGAGACAGACCAAGAAAGACCTGGATACAGATTTTGGCAGAATGCACAGGCCTCAAGCATAATGTCCATTTCATTTGGCCGACACAGGTGGAGAGAACTGATCAGACAGTAGCAACTGGTGACCCAACAACATGCAATGTTATGCGACTATGATGATGATGATTATGATGATTAATGTTTCAACTGAACAAATATTCAAACTGAATGCAACTCAGATGATCTGTAGTATGCATTACATTCATCTGGAACATGCAACAGGTGTGGTAATATTAACTGAAAAACTACACCAGACAAGGTTATTAGAAGTCAATAAATGCAAATATTTGGGCGCAAGCATAATATTGGACAGAAGATGCTTAACAGAGACTAAGAGCAGAATGGACAAGTAAAGCTGTCGAAAGAAAACCATAATCAACATGTAGCAGGTCCTTTGCAGAACGTCGATCTCATCAGCGTCTGCCTGAAAAAAAACTCCGTCTCTCGCCAGCTCTCCCACCTCAAGCAGTTTCATATCCAAGGAGTCGCTTTTACCAGCCCCTGCCCCCTTTCCTGGTACCCTGCCTTCGGTTATTATTTGTTCCCATCCACTGTGGTGGTTGATATGGATGGCCTCACCGCCCCTAACAAGGATGACATAAAAAATGACTAATAAAGGCTTTGCCGAAATCAGATGTGTTGGGACAAAACATACTGAGACCTAGCTGTAAGCCGCAGTACAGAATGAAAACGAAAAAGTGGTAAAAATAGGGATGAATGCGGGCAGGCAAGCTAAATCCAATAAATTAATCCAGTGAGGTGTGATTAAAAAGCTTCACGAAATGGGGAAGCAGGAAAACATGCACAAAACAACACATTATTGACGTTTCTCGACATGAACTAAACTACACAACAATAACAAAGTAGAGAGTACTCCGACCACCAACGACCACCGGGGGTCACACAAGAAACTACAAAATATTTCATTTTATTGTATTATTTCAATGCTAATTTTTATTATATTATTGCGGAGGCGCAGATTGATCATTATGGTCTAAGGAGTTACCAGGGGATCTGGCCGACGCTCAACACTTAGGGAACGGATGAAACGGATATACAATCAGACGCTTTGCTGGTACCATCAGAATTGGAACTCTTCGCTTGCTGCTGAAGATGGGGTACTGAGCACTTATGGGAGTGTCCAGAGTGCTGTGATGTTGATTTTTAATTCAACATTCCTATTATTATTTTATTGTATCTCTTATCAGTACCAGTTAGGGACCATTAGCATTTGTACTTCTACTACTCTTGTATTCCTACTATTATTATAAATTAGTTTTTGACTATTTTTCGAGCCTTCCTTGATTTTATTGTATTCATTCCACATGACCTTTTTATAGTTTCTCACGAGACCCCCTGATGGTCGTTGGTAGTTGGAGTACTCTTCCCTTTGTTGCTGTTGTGTGGTTGGGTTTATGTCGAGAAAGGCCCAGCCGAAATGTCAATTTGTGCACGATTTTCTGCTTCCCCATTTCATTAAGCTTTTTAGTGACAACTCACTAGATTCTTGCAATGAAAACCAACATTTTAAGAGCAAACACAGAACAAGAATTAAGTGTCAGAAAGCAGGTATTATTATAATGCTGAACTTGTTTTTCTATATGGTAGTGACTCTTAGAAAGTGAATAACAAAGTCAGAAAGTCCACATTTTACACATGACTGAGGCCCTGTTAGGCTATTTGCTTGGCCGCCATAATACTGGGTAGAAGTTCAGAGGAGAGCCACTTTTTAAGATATAAAAGAAGGGCTGTACTGAATATTCGCTTCGTATTCGCTTCGGGGCCAAATAGTGGACCTAATAACAATTCGGTATTTGGCCGAATAGTTGCGGTAGGGCCGAATACGAATAGTTGTTACCTTACACCCATTTCTGGATTGGTTGAATGGGTGAAAAAAAACATATCAAGATTTCCCTCCTTGGTTCATACTGTCAAGCATTATGTGTGTGCACCACCTAAGAGCTTACCAAGTGAACATCTGTTTAGCACAGCTAAAAATACCTTCAGTGAGACGAGAAGCTGTCTCAATGCTGACAACATGGAACGATTTTTTTTTTGGGAAAGCTAATGCCGCTTTCATGGCTTAACTAAGCTGTCAGTGACAATTTACAAGTTTAGTTACTTGTTATAAAACTGAGAATACTTTCATTCCTAGGTATTAGTTACCACATACTGACTGAAGGATGCAAAACATGAAATGTTTTTAAATGTTTACTATTCTGTACTACATTTTGTGAAGTAAAATTTCAGCTACATTTGACATTATGGATGTTTTTTTTTTTTTAAGATCTGTTTTATACACCAAAGTTGAAGAACTGGCATCAGTTTGAACAGTGGGAAGACAGAAGTAATGGTGGTATCAAAGAAAATAATTAATCCTTAATGTGTAATAGAAGTCAATGGTTTTATTTTGGGACAAGTATGGAAATTTAAGTATTTGGGAACACATAACATCAGATGGAAGATGCAATACTGAAAAAAAGAAAGAGAATAGGACAGGCAAAAACTTTATTTTATAAAATGAAGAACATCTTATGCAAGATATCTTTGTCATTGAAGGTTAGAAAAAGAATTTTTGCTTGCTACATACACCCAGGTTTAACATATGGCTGTGAGTCCTGGACAATTGGTAGGCAGGCCAAACAATTTCTTGAGGCCTCAGAGATGTGGTTTTACAGAACAATGCTTAAAGCCCGAAGACAACTACTCACAGACATCAGAAGGAGACAGTCATCATTTTTCGGCCATGTTATAAGATGAGGGGAAATGGAACATGTGGTGACCACTGGAAAGATCTGTGGTAGGAGGGATAGAGGAAGACAACGAGAGAAGATACTTGACAGTCTTGTTGCATGGCATAGAGGTGTGTCAGCACATGAACTGATACATGCTGCAGAAGATCACAGATTGTGGGAGGCATAATCGCCCATGCCAGTCTGTAAAGCACCTGATGATGATGATTCACTATTCGTATTCGACCAAATAGTTGGTCCAGCTGTTCGTATTCGTCCGAATAGTGAAAATCACTATTCGGTACAGCCCTAATAACAAGTAGCACATCTAGGTTTTTTTTTTTTTTTTGCGTTGGACCTTAAACTGTCGCTGTGTTGTTGTAGTGTTTGAAGATGGGTTGCAATATTTGCGCCCATTAGCACTACCAGATGTCAGCAAACAATTTATTTTTCAATCAGTTGCCTTTTTAAAAAATGTTTTGTTTAAGTTAAAGTTAAAGGACAATGGGTCCGCACCACCACAACCCAAGCCCCTCCTCCAAATGAACCCACCGTGACTACAGAGGCTTGGACTGAAAGAGTTAAGAACGACAATATTCAAAGTGGACGGAAGGACCTAGTCTTACAAAATAATTTACTTACCTTGGCGATTTCATATCGCTGCACCAATATTTACAGTAAATTTTATAGCCATTTTCATTCGTGAAGAAGTCTTCAGTTTTGTTCCTTAAATCGTTAACTTTGTCGCCAGAATCTGTACTCGGTGAGCTTGCCATTCCAAGATAGGCTGTGAAGCCGAGGACAACGTTCAGACCTTATTCTTGAGTTTCAACACTTGGACTTTTGTGATTCTGCTACAGTTGTTGTCGCTGGTAGGGGACATAATTCTAGATCTCTTTCCACATATGCGTCCCGAGCAGTAGCTTCCCTTAATCGTTATTGTCGTCAACAATTTCTTCTTCTTCTTCTTCTTCTTCTTCTTCTTCTTCTTCTTCTTCTTCTTCTTCTTCTTCTTCTTCTTCTTCTTCTTCTTCTTCTTCTTCTTTAACTACTACTACTACTACAACCACCACCACCACCACCACCACCACCACCACCACTACTACTACTACTACTACTACTACTACTACTGCTGCTACTGCTACTGCTGCTGCTGCTGTCGCTGATTCTTCTTCTTCTTCTTCTTCTTCTTCTTCTTCTTCTTCTTCTTCTTCTTCTTCTTTCTGATTCTTCTTCTTCTTCTTCTTCTTCTTCTCGCTCTTAAAAATACGTTGGAAGATTGTGTTGTGATTCACAACTAGACAGTAATTTCTGCATCTATAGGCCCAACACATCCGATTTAAACAAATTTTAACCAACCACTATTTCCTATACAGTGGAACCTCGCTTAACGAGCATAATTGGTTCCAGAATCATACTCGTTAAGCGAAATACTCGTTGAGCGAAACAATTTTTCTCATATAAATTAATGTAAAATACGATAATGCGTTCCATGTTGAAAAAATACTAACAAAATGCTATGTATAACGTTTATTCAAAGAAAACTATATACATATTGTTAAGGAGAGTTAATCATCTTCATCTTTTCTTCAAACGCTAAACGAACTCACCTGGAATGTGAATTCGATTTGCAGAAAACAAAAGTCGAAATAATTATGATACATAGCTAATTATTATTATTATTTTTTTTTTTTTACCAGAAAGATGTTCAGAGACATTTGTTTTTGCCGACGCTTCAGTATTTGGCGAAATTGCGACACAGCATTATCATTAAATAAATTTGTAACACGCATAGCCACTTCCTTATTAGGGTGATGCTTCTCAAAGTAAGATGCCACAGTTTGCCATGCATTCAGCATTTCTCTTATTTCGCCAGAAGATTGTTGCTTTTCTATTACCTGCTCCTCTTCCTCTGTCGGCCCTAGCGTATTGGGTTCCAGTCAGCTAGCTAGGAAACGGAAATATTTTCAAAAACGACCTTGGCTGACACTTCATCCCAGCCTAAAATGGGTTCCACGTAATGTCCTAGGAAGTAAAGGCGACCGGCGGGATGTTGATATTACCATACACAGAGAAGAGCACCTCACACCAAAAGACCGGTGCCTTAATAATAACTTCGTTGGATGTTGAAAGAGGGATTTGGGATCTGCCTTGTTGACCCAGTCAGACTTTTATTAAAAAATGACCTTAGCCTCCAGGCCGACCCAGCTTTACATGAGTACCAAGTAAAGTCCAGGGAAGTAAAGGTGGCCGGTGTAATCCTGACCACATCATCCAACGAGTGTCTTTTAGTCAATAAATATAGATCTAACCCTATATGCCAAAACCGCTCGAAGACGTGGAAAATAGTTCTTTACCCGCTACCTACAAGTTTACCATCTTAAGATTGGAAATCTCAATCTTGATGGCAGATGAATAAGGCAGATCCCAGATACGTTGTTCAACAGCAAAAGTCGTGTAGGGAAAGTGTTGACTGGTGCCTGCGCAGAATAGAGGGAATTAAATAATATGATCGAATCACTCATGAAGAGCTTTAGAAGAGAACTAAGCATGCTTCAGTGGAGCAAGAGGTGAAGAAAAGACGCTGGCGTTGGATAAGACAATGAGAAAACCGGAGAACATATAACTAGAATGTCTTTGCACTGGAACCCACAGGGGAATAGGAGTTAAGGAAGGCCATAAAACACATGGAGAAGTAGCTGTAGAATGAAGTTAGAAAGAGTTGGTTGAGGGTCTATGCTACATTGGGGGCTAGAAAGGGCAAAAGAAAGAAGAAGGAAAATTGTTATAAACTGAAAAAAAAAAAATATGAAAGCTTATAAGATATTCTGATTTACACAAAGAAAAATAATAATTTCCAATATCCAAGTGAAACATATTTGAAATGAAATATGTTTATAATGAATATTTCACAGTAACAGGCTTGCTGGTAATCAAAAATAAACCAGAAACCGGAAAGAAACCTGAATCCCAAGAGGCCATTAGCCTTTGTGACCTCAACACTTTCAGAATAGTCATTGAAAGGTTAATTAAGGTCTCGAATTTCGACAGGCGAATTGATTTCATTTGATTGTTCTGTTGTTTAGCGCCATTTGATGTCCATTCTTTTTCTTTTATCATTTGGGTGTGTCATTTATGTATTTATTACCTGTCAATTTAATTTGCTGAGTGAATATATGTTTGTACCGTTAAAAAATAGTAATGCTAATGTGCCGAATTTAGCAGCCTAGACAGAAGAACAATCGTTCACTGTTCATTTCAGAATCATTTTTAGAGTCCATCCGGCATTTCTATAGGTGCTCTAATTTTTTTTTTTCTGTTCTTTATTGATCGATGTAACGACTAAGAGTTTTTGCGTGGTTTTCAAGTCGAGGTGCTCCTTAGTAATCTTAGTTTCAGCTTCATAGTAAACAGGAAATCCCATAGTTGCTCCGCTCGTGTGCCAACGAAAAACACACAAATGTCCATCACTGTCCCATGTGGAAAACATTTACACAGGTAGCCATCAGGAGTGCTAACACAAGCAGTCCGACATTAGAAATGCAGTTCATCATTGATGAAGCAGCTGTTACAAACTTATCAGCAATTGCACAAGTTAATAATTTTAATCACACAAGGCACCACCAAATGTGTGGCAAAAGGCAACTAGCCATTTTCCGAATCTACAATTCACAACACAACGCTGGTCACATTCAAAGAACATTCTAAATAAAATTTGCAGCTCCCAGTGTTGCACCATACACTCAACTCAGTATCTGGGCGACAAATAGAGGAAAATGCAACGGCCACCGTTTGTTAGAAGTACAAATGTGCCACGACTAAAACAGTGAAAGAAAGAATGGTGAAGGGAGCTAGACAGTGAATTTAAAAATACAGGGTAGACATGGGGAGAGCTGCATGCTATAGCGAAGGATAAAACGAATCGACGTGAGTTGGTTGAGTGCCTGTTCTCCACTGAAGGCTAGAAGGCAGAAGAAGAAGAAGAAGAAGAAGAAGAAGAAGAAGAAGAAGAAGAAGAAGAAGAAGAAGAAGAAGAAGAAGAAGAAGAAGAAGAAGAAGAAGAAGAAGAAGAAGAAGAAGAAGAAGAAGAAGAAGAAGAAGAAGAAGAAGAAGAAGAAGAAGAAGAAGAAGAAGAAGAAGAAGAAGAAGAAGAAGAAGAAGAAGAAGAAGAAGAAGAAGAAATAGAAGAAGAAGAAGAAGAAGAAGAAGAAGAAGAAGAAGAAGAAGAAGAAGATGAAGAAGAAGAGGAATAACACAAAGACGAAGAAGAGGAAAGAAAGAAGAAGAAGAAGAAGAAGAAGAAGAAGAAGAAGAAGAAGAAGAAGAAGAAGAAGAAGAAAGAAGAAGAAGAAGAAGAAGAAGAAGAAGAAGAAGAAGAAGAAGAAGAAGAAGAAAGAAAGAAGAAGAAAGAAGAAGAAGAAGAAGAAGAAGAAGAAGAAGAAGAAGAAGAAGAAGAAGAAGAAGAAGAAGAAGAAGAAGAAGAAGAAGAAGAAGAAGAAGAAGAAGAAGAAGAAGAAGAAGAAGAAGAAGATGAAGAAGAAGAAGAAGAAGAAGAAGAAGAAGAAGAAGAAGAAGAAGAAGAAGAAGAAGAAGAAGAAGAAGAAGAAGAAGAAGAAGAAAAACAATTAAAGTGCCTAACCTTCATTTGGACCGGAAGCTCCAATTGGTATAACTGGACTTCGCATCCGTACCTGAAGGAAATCGGTGTCATTATGTTTGGCGCCTTCAGCTCGCCATCTCCCTCGCAAGGCCCTCTAGATGCCTTTCTTGCTGTCATGTCCAGGGACACAGATGAAGGAATGGTACCAATTGTTGCCTTTTGTACTAATAAATACCATTTCCCTTCCATGACTGAAGTCGACAGGTTTACATACCTAGGGAGTAAGATGACAACCTCAGGTGATACAGCACCAGAAACATCATTTAGAATCGCACTGGCATCTAGTGCTTTTTTCAAACAGTCAAACATCTGGAAGTCAATGACACTCAACAAACACATACAACTCAAGATCTTGAACTCTTGTGTGATTCTAGTACTAACTTATTTTAGGCAGGAATTGAAAAGCAACAGTAGCTCTTGATTAAAAAAAAAAAAAAAATTAGACAGTTTTAAAAACAGATGTCTTAGAAGAATACTGAATCTCCACTGGAGAAATTTAAGATCCAATACGCAAATAAGACAAGAGACCAAGCAAGAAAATGTATCAAACTTAATAAGAAAGCGCCGCTAGAATTACATTGACCATGCACTCAGAATGGATAAGACCCCCTTCAAGCCCTCATATGGACACCGGAAGGGAAATGAAAGCGGGGAAGACCAAGAGAGACTGCGTAGAAAAATCATCAGAGAAGGCTCAACTATGGGCCTAACAAACATCCATGATCTAAAACAGGTGGCAACGAACCGCCAAACATGGAGAGCTAGGACCTCTGCTCTATGCGCCGCCTTGGGCTCAAGAGGAAAGACTAACTAACCTGCCATGAATCAGCGTTGATCTTCTTTATCATACAAGGTCCGACAATTAAGTAATGGGACTAATTCAATAAAAATTAAAATAATCAACATTTGAAGTTATAACCTGTATTTAAAGACAGCAAGTGAAATGGTTTGCCCACTTAGAGAGAATGCCTTGTGACACCATACCATACAAAGCATACATGGAAAGAGAAGAAGGTCGTAGAGCACGGGGTAGACCAAGAACAAGATGGAGGGATAACATCAGAGAAACTCTACAACAGCACGATGTGCCTATGTTCGAGGCGGCCAGAAGAGCTA